AAGCATTTTGACTTTATAGTCTCTGTATATTTCCTCTTTTATATGTATTATTTTATAGCAATCCAGTCGCAGTAACAGATTTAGGCAAAAATTCATGCTTGTTCGTCAACCCCTGTGGCATCTCGTGCGGACAGCCGAGTTGAGAAAACCTCTTATCAGTGTTATAGTTCCTCAGGCATTCTGTGGTGGCGCGTTAGAGACGTTGAGGACTTCACACTTCAAAGCAGTGCTGATTATATTATATTCAAAACATCGCACTTGTATTTAGAGCATTATCTACTTGCTGTATGATCGGGAAAGGGAAATAAAGAAAACAGACAAACAAAAACTATTCTTGCATACAGCAACAACAATTGATAATCATTCGTACTCTATGTTATATAAAGTTGTTAAACCGCCAAGATTAGTTCTACAACATCAGCGATTGTTCAGTAGAGATATTGGTTATATAGATAGAGCAGAATACCGCGTCTTGAATGTTTCTCTAAGACATTACGGTAGGGTTTATGTTTCTAATTTCCATTACTTCCATGAATTCGCTAGATAATAGCGTTGACGCTAAGGAAAAAAGGACATGAAACATATATAAATATATAGGGAATACATACGAAAAAAAATAGCATAAATCGAATAATAGACAATAGGTAGCAATCTGGGCTACCCACATACATGGAAGCGCTAATGTCCATAATGTGCTGGCAGCGAACTCGTACTCGGAGGGCGGAGCAATCCGAGAGGTATTTGCCATGCGAGCGCGCTGCGCGAAACTGCTGCCAGTTCTCGTTGGCGTACATCGGTCCGTCAGTGGATCTGTGGCTTCCTTTAGGGGCCCAAAAGCGGCTCAAACTGCTCCTCTCCTGTTTAGTTCTTCTTTTGAATCGTCTCCATGTTCACCGAACTCTCGAGATATATGTAACGAGACGTCTCCGCCTTTAGAGAGCCTTTTCCATTCCCTGGTCCTCGCAGAAAGCGTTCTTCATAAAATGGGCTTTTTTCGGCTAAGTCGCAGTCCTATAAGCTTCCCTTCGTTTAGTTCTTTAAACATCGTCTCCGCTTCGGTTCCACGAGAAGGGAACAATGTTGTTTGCGAAATGACGGCTCGAGATACGGTGGTAGCTTTGGTGTCGAACCCCCTTGGAAATTTGTATGTTAAGGGGACGCTGGGAAAGCTGTACCATTGTAGAGCAGTTCTTGTAGCAGTCGGCTTGTCCTCACGTAAGATGGTCCATAGTCGAGGAGCACTCTCGGCAAACCTCGATAATCCTCGAAATGGTTTAGATATGATCCATGCAGCTGCAGAGCTTGTAAGGCACACTGCATATTGGATGGTGGTTCCGAAGATCCTCCCTTTCGCCCTTCTTATGAAGAAGATTGTTTGAGAGGTTTTCCACTAGCCAGAGATCCTTTCCTTTTGAAGGCAAGTTAGATGTTCCTCAAATATCCGTGTAAGCGATGCCCTCCAGCTCGTAAGAGATCGGCCGATACATGGTCCGGTCCCGAGCCGTGGCTGCCTTCAGGTTCGAAATGCGGCGCATACCCCAGCAGGTAAAATTCGCGGTGGTCTTTCTTCAGTAAGAATGACGGGGTTTGAGCAGTTCTTGAGAAGATCGGTGTAGAATCATTTCGTGATCGATTCCATTTTTCGTTGGAAAAATGTCCGTGTCCCGTCTTCGTTTAGTAATGCTGTCAGCGGATTACGGTAGTCGAGGAAGTCCCGGCGGTACTTCTTTAAACATCTTTTCTTTTACTGCTTCAACAAGTTTCGCTTGCCTGTACTTTGGAAGATCTTCCTGCAAAGCTATTCTGCAGCTGGTATTTGCCATCAATCGCCCGAGATGTGATGCAGCCGGACCCAGTCTCAGTGCTCTCCTTTTTTTCAAAGCAGACCCTTGGTGGCTTTCCAAATTCGTTCCAAGTTCTTTGTTCGTAGCATTGAAGTACTTTCACCAAAGGCTCTCAGTCTCCTGAGAAGCAGATCGTAGTCCTGATAGGTTCTCCTCAATGGGCCAACAAGTGGTCAGGAGCTCATCCAATCTTAAGCCGTCATATGTGCTCTCCTTCCCCAACAGTAATAAATCTTCTTTTCCAGCTTTCGGCTAAATCGCATTTTGCTTGAAGGAGACGGTGATCTGAATCACTGCAGATGATACCACTGAGAGGCCCAGTAAGCACCACCGGTTGA